AGTGCCGATAATTGCGGACTCGGTATCATCATCGGCACCCCACGTCTGTGCTCTTAGCAGCATTAGGAGTCAGTAAGCCAGCGAATGCCAACTTGACTGCCACACATTTCTTGCTCCCCACGCAAGTGAAGGAGTAACAGTGCAGCTTAAACTTTCCATCTTACTCATCACAGTTTAATGGCTTCGGCACACATACACACACACGAGCAGTCATCTGTTATCATTTCCTGACGCCTTTGATAGCCAATTAATGTCGTCTTTGCGTGAGCACCATGAGAATGTGAGCACTAAATCGATGGTTGCGTAGAGAGTGGGACAGCAACAGCAGCAGCAGCGGTAGTAGTGACCAAGAAGATCTAGTAGCGTTTCATTGTGTCTTGGTGCACTGCTGCGACGATGGTCATGGCAGTGCCATTCCATTCCGCCATTCAGCCATTCATTGCCCAGCAGCATTCATTGTGCACTCTCTCCTTAGACACCAAGCAAGGCAGGCAGTGTCTTCTGTCGACACAGTAGCAGTTGCCGCCCGCCAAGAGCGCATTCTTCATTTGATTAGCGCCGACACTGAAAGCTCTGTCCATTGCACACTGGCTGTGCATTGAATGAGGCCATTCGGGAGAATGCATTTGCCAGGCCAATTCGCTGTCTATTAGCCGGGCTCGCCTATTGTGAAGCAGTCAAAGTGGCGCGATTTAATTTGGCGCTACCCAACGTGTACCTCGACTGCTTAATAAATCATTTCTCTATTTATTTAATTCTACCATTCCGCTTTCTTCTTCTGTCAGCGGCAACTTACCGAGGTCGGTAAGTCGAGGGATTTATGTTCTCCCTTTTGGTGGCTGGCAGTGTGAGACTCGACAACTAGCTCAACGGCACAATGAATCAGCAACTCGCCAGGGCAAGTGTCAACTTTGATTAGCACTACTAGAACGCCGGCGTCCAAAGTGTGCAGATAAATGCTGCTGCTGTCTCTGACTTTTACTTTGTTTCGCCTCTGTTTCAGCCTCGGCAAATTGGCTTGTCAAGTCGTTATCAGCACCCGGCTGCTGATGCTGCTGATGTTTCTAATGTTGTTGTTGTTGCTTCGTTGCCTGCTGACGCGTCGAGTCGAATTATCTGCCTCTGGTAATTTAACACTCTAGGCGAAAAAGAGAAAAGAGCATTCTCAGTACGACCACTTTTTGTTCCGTCTTTTTCCAATCGATCGACCCTTTTTCAAATGCAGCAGACATGTGCAGAATTACTCAGCAAAGAGCAAAATCAAATTAGGGCAAACCTGACAGGCAGCACCTCTGACAAGGGAAAAACATCATTGTCGATGTCATTGTCCCTCTGCCTCTGTATCATCATTAGAATTAATTAATTTTTAAAAAAATGTACGCTTTTCAGCTATTATTGACGGCAAAATCAATTGAGTGCTGTGCAGGGCGATGATGGCAATCAAAGACAATCGAGGACGTCAAATTGCCTACAGTGCTCGGTGCACTTCGAATCATCCAATCTTTAACGTCGATTCGGGGGAATAGCTTTTATGATTGCCCTGTAACAGGAAAAAAATTTGAAATTTCAATTAGCGGACCAGTGCAGTCTTGGAAGAGAAGCAAGTGTTTCGAGATGGGAAACAGAAGAAGAAGAAGTAAAAGAAGTGAAAGTCCCGTCCACTCGGAAATGGTCTCCCTGAGACATTCGCCCGGTCGTTAATGCAGCTGTGCTTGTTTGTATGGGTCTGTGTGTGTATGCGCCTGTGTTCCTCCGCCACAGTGCGGAGACCTTTTCCAAGGGAAAAATAAATTATACATGTATATTTAGTCAGGACATGCCCTCTATGGCTAGGTTGAAATGTCTTATTCTTTCCTTCTTCCATTGCATACGGCCTGATCGTTTGCACCAGCTGTTGTCAGCAGCCTTTCCAATGACAATTGAGAGACAAACAACACCACACAGGCAATCAGACAATGAAACAGGCAGGCAATGTGAGCATGGTTGCTGCTAATTAGCATCTCAACAGTGTTGTATAACACACAGGCACTANGGTTGAAATGTCTTCTTCTTTCCTTCTTCCATTGCATACGGCCTGATAGTTTGCACCAGATGTTGTCAGCAGCCTTACCAATGACAATTGAGAGACAAACAACACCACACAGGCAATCAGACAATGAAACAGGCAGGCAATGTGAGCATGGTTGCTGCTAATTAGCATCTCAACAGTGTTGTATAACACACAGGCACTACTAAGATGGTTGGTTGGCTGTTCAACTTGACATTGTCGCACTGGCCGCAGTGCTTACCATTAAGAAAAACAAATTTTCAATTTGTTAGATAAAAAAATTTGCATCAGGCAGAAAACATTCAAATTCTTTGGTTTGGGTAGTGGTGGCAACAAAAGGGGCCACAACTGCACTCGTACTTGTTTTCTTTTGTTCTAATGGACATGACATTCAATTCTATTCAAGCTGCATACGAGGAGGCAGAGAAAAGCAATAGCTTAACAAACAACACAAACAAACACTTTTTTGGCGTCAGCGGAAAGTGATGAACGGGAATGCGCTCATCCTCCTCCTCCTCCTCCTCTTCCTCCTCCTCTTTCGTTTGCACTTTACGAGGGTCACTCGTGTCAGGTTTGATTTGTGTGTTGGTAAAGGCAGCAAAAGCATCACCAACCGCACTAGCACTGCAGTACTAAAGGCTCTTTAAGTGCTAATGTTCCTCCAAACGGTTGTTTACATTGGCTGGCAGATCGACTGCCAGCGAAGCTGTCGAACCGCGCACCAGGCCAGACTCACTTTGAAGCCTCTTTCTTGAGCCACACCGCTCTTTGCCAGCCCATGTCTATTAATAATTCCGCATAAATCGAGATTAATTTGCATATTTTTAAGTAAACACAAATGCTCTTTAGCTATTGTGCTGCTGCTGCTCCACTGACTTGATGACGCCTTTAGTGTGTGCACATTTGCAGAAGAAATGGGCGCCTTCAGTTGTAGTTGCGGTGGTGATGGTGGCTCAGCGGCACCGATCAACCGTTGGCTCACTCAATGGCTTCTCTTCTTAGGAGCAGCAGTTCCACTTGTTCGATTGATCCACGCAAAAGGGCACAGAAAGAAAGGACGGTTGCCTAGTTTGCCTGGTGCTGTTTGTCAGTTTGTCAGACTGGGCTCAATGCGGTAATTTGCGAAGCTGGCTCCCTTGCCAGGGAGTTGGCTGTCGGGCATCAGCGGCACTACTGTTCACCAGACAGTACTCATCACATTTGCGTAGTTGCTGGGCACTGTAACTGCTGCTGCTGCACTGTTCATTTATTCAGTCTCTTTGCTGTAATGGCTGCTGTCCGCCCTCAGAGTGCCAGTAATAGTGCCAATTTAGCGTGTTGGCAAATCGCACCACGAAGACGCTCTAATGAGCGACAGCAGCGGTCCAATGTATAGCTACCAGCAGCAACAACAACAAAACTAACCAGCTAACCTACCAGCATAAGGAGGAAGTCTTGTTCTAATGTGCAAAGAAGAAAAAATGAAAGTAATCGCTTTCTGATCGGACGCCTTTTTCGTTGATGTCTATTTCCTAAAAATGGCTCTTCCAAAGTTGAAGCCACTATCGCCAACTCTGGGGGGATGGCAATTGCAGTTTAGTATAATAGCCGCCTTTGTAAGCATTAAACACTGCTGACACGACAATTGCCCATGGTGGTTGAGAAGGAAAGTGTCTGGTCAAAAAGATAAAGAGACTGTACTTGCTTGGGCTGATTTACAGTTGCCTTAATGTCGCTGTATAAAAACTAAAAATAAGAAAAAGCAGGCGCTAGCATTGTCTTGGCGTTGTGTCATTTGTTTGCTCATATCTAATGTCTTGTGTCAATTGTGTTCTTCTTTTTTCTTTCTTTATCTTCTTTGTCAATAGAAAGCCACAACTATTTGACGACGGCGCCTTCGAATTTGAGCGGCGCCGCGGCACCGGCCACCGTGCAAAGACCAGAAGTCATTCTGCCCCGACCGGAGAATGTCTCTGTCATCCTCGTCAGTTGGTACCCGCCCGCTGTTCGCGTCCAGTGGATGTTTACCCGCAATCGCAATCAACCTAATCCAAATGCCTTCCAAATCATATATCGTCCAGTACAGTCCAGGTGAGTCAACTGCACGTGCCAGCAGTGGGAAAAGCTGACTTTTGTTTTGGTCTGCACATATTGACCATACGCCCAGACACGTCAATAGTGTCGGGCTAAATTGGGCCATCCAGGCAAAAGCTCACTCATGTCCATCACTTATCGTCAGTCCTGACAGCCTAGCTTTTTCCCTCTTCCTCCTACTTCTTTTGTGGCCACAACTTTTTCCATTTTCTTCTCCATGTGGCTGAATCACTTCACTGCCGTTTCTTTCATTTAGTCGCAGCATTTGCGGCGCAGTTTGCTTTCTGCACAGCGGCGATATGCAAATGTACGGCAGTTGGGCGCATATTGAACACAATGGAAAGACTGTGTTGTCACACTGTGGCTGCCAGAGACGGTGGCCATTGTGCTATCTATCAGTATTGCCTTTCTACCAGCTTGTACTTTACTAATACCTTAGTAGCGCATTCCACCCACTGAAAAACTGGTTGGAAGCCGCACTAGAAGAAGGGAAAGAAAGGCAGCTCCATTCATTGCCTAAGTGTGGCAAACAGTGGTGGGCGCTTTGTTGGCTGATTGCCGTTGCTGGTGGCAGTGCTTGCTAGTGCGATTGACTTGCAAATGGATCGACAATGAAAAGAAGGCAACAAAACAGCAGCAGCAGTGTGTGGCAGTGTGTAGCAGATGAAATTACTGTTTCAGTTTAAGTTTTGGCAGTTTTAGCAGCAGTAGTGAGCCGCCAATTGAGCCGTGCGTGACGCGATAATGAAATCACTGCAAATGGCCCACTGCTCACTGCTGCTGGCTACTGTGGACATTTGCGTGAGCTAAACTACTAAAGAGTGAAACACTATTTTTCCAGGCAGTACTCAGGCTGCTCATGCTGCTTAAAATTTATGCAATGCGGGACAGTGTAGTGAAAGGGGATAATAAAAGTCCGACAGGCACTATCGTCATCATCATCATCATCACAAGTACCACTAGTGCATACCGAGTGGTCACAAACACCACTTTCATTCCTTTCCATTTCCTCTCCACTGACTAGTTAATGTGTTTTTACATCCGAGTCTAGGTATCGCATCATTCAAGAGGTGCCGCAGTACTTCCGCAACCTCACAATTGACAGACTTCAACCGGGCATTGAGTACTCGGTGCAAATCAACTCGCTCTATGACCATGAAGTTACCAATAAAAGTCGCTTGGTCAATTTTGTTTCGCCAGACAATGGTCAGTAGTTTGTCTTTTATTTAATGATATTTTGGATTTCAACCATCTCTCTAATGCACAGAGGCTCGCCGTTCCCGTGGCAAGTTCATCAATCGACCTATTCACACATATCCCGACGAGATTCAGGAGGGGCTGCAGGTGCGCGAGGACGAGGTGGTCATTGTCGTGCTGGTCATCTGCGCCTGGATTGGCTGCATCTTTGTCTTCTTCAACAAATGGGGCAAAATTCGCATGCTGGAGCCTTATCAGCCGCAGTACAAAGAGTCCTTCCACAACTCCATTCACTCCATTCACCCGAAACCTTCTCGAATGAACACCTGCACCTCAGTGCCGCCCAACATGATCTCGATAGAGAGCAGAGGCAGTCTGATTGCCGACCGGGAGATGCTGCTGCACCACAATCGCATGACGGAGAGTGGTCAGCTGTACCAGTGCGCCTCCGGCACCACCTACCACCACCCTGCCTACCGGCCACGCCTCAACTCGGTCTTCATGTCCAATCCATACCATCGTGATTCGCTCTACCCCGAGCCGAATCTGCCACGCAAGGTGAAAAGTGCCGAGGATTTGAAGTCGCTCGTTGTTCAGGTGAACTACCCAACCATACCGTCCACATCGACCTCGGTGCTCTGAAGACTGCTGCAGCCCGACTCGCTAAGAGACAGAGACAGAGAGAACACAGAGTCACAACCACAAAGCCTCTTTCTTTCCCACTTGCTCAGGGCTAATGCCAATCGATGCCAGCGCAAATGCCCAATGCATTAGCAAAAGGCGGACGAGCCAAGGCAAACACACGAGCACTGCCGCTGCTGCTGCTGCCTCGATCTGCCTCTTCTCTCGAGCTCTAAATGGCTTTTGGCTGCTTCGATCAGCTTTGATTGTCCTGTGCCACTGTGTGCTTCCTCTCTTTCTTTCTTTCTGTTCTTGCTCAGGCCCACTACCTAGTGCACCAGGTTTGAGCAGCAACAATCAGCAGTGAGCAGTAGACAAACACAGGCCTTATTACTGTTATTATTACCACTATTGGTTAGCAGTCGATTAGAGCCAGCGGATGAGTGCAGTCTCGTGCTCTTCCGCCACTGCACTGGCTGCTCTTTCACCATCATCACCACCTTCCAAAGAGCCTTTTCGTGTTTGCCAGCACTGTATACACCCGGCCGTACCAGCATCGACCACTGTAGGTCGTAAACAGCGGTAGCATAAACGGACACTGGCCACTGCTAAAAGTCAGTGTTCCGCTTTCCCCGTAGACATGTGATACGCGGGCCGATCAATCTCCGGTGGTTGTGGACCGTCACTATCATTTGGCCAGCATCGACAGCCGCCACTACCGTTACTGCCAGAAGGTACACACTGTCCACCGATCGTTCCATGACCATCAGCAAGTGACTACCACTTACTGACTTACCTCGCACAGAACAGCAGTGCTGCAGCTGCTGCATCAGCAACAATAACAACAACAACAGCAGCAGAACAGTGTGCCCCATGTCCACTCGCTCGACGGCACATTTGGTACTTTCCTGTGTCTGGCCGTAAGTGCTACTGAGCAGAGGGAGCACTGTACGGAAAAAGCCCTGTGCCTGGCGTCTCAGCCGAATGTCATGTCTTGCCGGACGCATTGTCTTCGCAAGAAAGTGCACCGCCTGCTGCAATAAAGCACTGCACGGAACCTGATACTGCTGGATCGGCCGTTGAGCTGTTTTGACTGTGCACTCATACAATTATACACATACAAAGACCGAGACAGACACAAATACAACTTTTTAATCGAAATCCAACTGACAACCGAGTGACTGTGCAGTGCCGGCTTGGCGCGCATTCAATTAGGCCGACAAACACACACACATTCACATTACAAATACAGAACACAAAACACACCAAAGACAGCAAAGCCAGTGAGTAAGAGAGGAGGAGGAGGAGAAAGAAGAATAGACAGAGACTTACACTGACAGTGACTGGCAGGCTAACGGCAAATCCTAACGGTGCTGCTGCTGCTCAGTAGTGCCAATGGCAGAATGGACAGAATGGAACTGCTTTGATAGAAGTCAAGTGAAGAATCCAATCACGCTTGATTGAGCCATGATCCCTGCACCCGATACTCATACACAGTTGGAGAAAATGGCAAAGAGCACCCAGGCTATTCCTTACAGTTGCAGCAGCAGCAGTCTCAGTGCTCACTGTGTGTGAACAGTCAAGCAAACAGAATCGGGCGCCTTGCAGTACAAGCAGCACCAGCAGCACTACCACCCCACCACCATTAATGGCAGTCATTTTCCTTTCGATTATTCCAACTTTTATTATTCAAATAGATTTTGCCGGCAAAGTACACAGACAGCCGAAGCTCAGTGAGCAGCAGTGCCAGTGCTGGAAGATAGTGTACAGTGTATAATCCAATCTGTACACAGCTCACCTCAATTACTGGCTGGCTCTTCCACTGACTGGCTGAATGGCACCAAAAACACACAAACACACAAAAACCCACACAATTGGCCCGAGATATAGGCATCAGACTGTAGGCGCCAGACTGAAATATCACCAATCGATAAGATGCAACGAATGCACCCGCACGACACTCTGTGCCAGCTAATGAAAACAAAGGCAGCACTGAGGACTGAACACATCACTTTCTCACTGACACTGACGGGCCTCACAAAAAGACAAACACAGAGAAAGACACAAGCACTGCTCAGGGAACCACTGAAAGCAAAGTGTTCCAGAAGGAGCAGTAGCCGCCGCAGCGAAAGCGACAGCGACAGCACCCCACTTCGCATGTTCACCGCCCAACTGCGCGCGCGACATTTAAGCAAGCGATTGACTGATCTTCTTCTTCCTTCTCCACTACCATAAAATCCGTCTGCTCTTCTCTGCCACCACAATCGCCCTCAGACGACCAGTCAGTCGGTGCAGTCACTGCCGCAGCACTCTATTGATCACATAATTCTGCCGTGCGACAGCTTATGACACGATGACAGTTTCGACTGCAGGCCACGAAGGAGGGAATCATCTTGGCCAAGTTTGGGAATCATTGCCAGGGCAACGGCTGCACACTGAGGAGCAGGTCGTCGTCATCGTCAGCAGCAACAGCAGCAGCAGTAGAAGGTCCACCACCCTGCTGGGAAGTGGTGCATGGCGAAAGCCATGTACAAGGACACCATTCGACAGGTCGCCAGCAGTCATGACATCAAGGCAGCAGCAGTAGCCGCAAACATGTCTCGGTGATTATCTTCTTCGCCTCACTCCTCTTTATCTCTCGACACCAAACAATCTTTCGTCTCTTCTCTCTCTCTTCCCTTTAAATTTCATATACTCGACAATTGATTTTTTTACTGTACAGTCTGAACCACACTAAGCTGCGACACAATCGAGTACCACCTACGGTGGCGGACTATTTTCTCTTGTAAGGAGCTGGCAATAATCTTTGCCAAAATAAAGCATAAATAATGCAAATAAATTGCCTCCACTCTATCATTTACCAATTCTCGTTCTCCTCACTCGCTGCTGGAGCACTACTTGTAGTGCCCATGGCTCTGTGCGCGCCTTACCTTCCCTTCTCTCTCTCTCTCTCTCTCTCTCTTCCTCTCTCAACTTGAGCGTCGATTTGCACTTGCTCAGTGAAACAGACGCTGCTGTGCCATGACAGTAAAAGTAGGATTCACACTTGTGTTGTGTACTTGCTTTTGCAGACACAAAAGAGCCTTTTAGTGTGTTTGGGTTTTATTTAGGTTTATTTTAGGTCCTAAACAAGTTGACAATCGGTGTAAAATGGGTAAGTGCATTAACTGTGGCTATTAGTTGTAGAGTTAACATTGGTTTTTGTTAGAGAAATGGATATTCTATTTTTGTTACGGATCAAATATGCTTTTAAGACGGATGCAAATTAACAACAAATCAGCGATTAAGTTTGCCAATGGCACTCTTAAGGGCTACAAGCTTTCCTTTGCTGGCAACTCGACCTTCTGGGCTGGATCATCGGCCAACATTGTGCCGGATTCTAAAGTACATTTTCAACATTATTGTCATGTTTTCCGGTAGCTAATAATTTGTTGTGTGTGCATTTAGAGTAAGGTGATCGGCGTGGTCTACAAACTAGCAGAGGAAGACATTGCCAGATTGGACAAACAGGAAGTTGGCTACGATGCCATTCAAGTCGAGGTCGAGTTGGAGCCTTCCTCGCCAGACCAGCCACTGACCACTGTTACCTGTAGGACTTATGTGCAAAAGCCGGAATACGCAAATGCTGGCGAAGGCGTTCCCAGTAAGCTCTACAAGGATATTATTGTGAAAGGTGCTGAAGAGCACAAACTGCCTCAAGAGTATATTGACTCGGTAATTAAAGCATTCTCCGATAATGGAAACACCAATTGTGGTCCACCTGGTTTTGTTCTGTGATTACCCGAATACATGAAAATGTTCGATACTTAGTCAACAAATTACTATTTTTGTAATTGTCACCAATTAGTCATGTTTTAAATTAAATGTTTTCGATTCAAAATATACAACAAACGACTATCTTTAACAATGCATTGAACTTCTAGTTAAATTACTGCAACTAAAGTGTTTTTAATTTATAGCACTATTAGTTTGAAGATATAAAGATATAAAGAAATATATTGCTGCTTGAACCTGTGCATGAACCTTCTTGCTACTGTAAAGCACAACGTCCTCATTGCCATGGTTAGTCCTCATTTGAAGGCGAATCCTTCTGCGAAAAGCAGCACCACTGGCAAGGTAAGTGTGCGAAGTTGATGTACGAGTCTGGAAAATCTTCAGTGCCGGCACCAGTCGGCACATTGGGTGCCATCTACATTGCCGCATTTCGACCACTTGGCGTCCCGTCACGTTCTCCGCCAGTGACTGCCTGTGAGTGTGTATCTCTCTCACGTCTTCAGCGCCTGAGATAGCCCTCTCAATGTCACGTCGCCGTCTATATACAGGCAAACACACTAGTACTCGGGCTGCGAGAGTGCACTCAGAACAGACTCAGTCACCTCAGTCAGCTACTGTCACCGCCGCTTGCTAGCATCACTTCACTACCACTTCTGTTGATTGACCTTCCAAATCTCTTTTCCTTAACAGTCAAACAAAGCACCCAGCAAATCATCGAAGATGGCCCGAAAGTTCTTTGTCGGTGGCAACTGGAAGATGAACGGCAGCAAGGCGGCCAATACCGACCTTGTGCAGCTGCTCGCCAAAGGACCACTTGATCCCAACACCGGTAAGTGCTGCAAATGCTGCAACGTGATGAAATGACATTGATGACACTTTTTTTCCTGCGCGACAACCTGTTTGACAATGATTTTTCGCTCCCTTTCAGAGGTTGTCATTGGTGTGCCCAGCATATATCTGTCCCAAGTGCGCACACTTGTTCCGGAGAACATTCATGTGGCTGCACAGAACTGCTACAAGGTGGCCAAGGGCGCCTTTACCGGAGAAATCAGCCCTGCAATGATTAAGGACGTCAACGTGGACTGGGTCATTCTCGGTCACAGTGAACGGCGTAACGTTTTCGGCGAAAGCGATCAGGTACTCTACAGGCTGACAGCACTATACATTCAAATTCAACATCTATTTTGTAGGTGATCGGCGAAAAGGTTGGCCACGCTCTCGACGAGGGCCTCAAGGTGATTGCCTGCATCGGCGAGCTTCTCGAGGAGCGAGAAGCCGGCAAGACTGCTGAAGTGGTTTTCCGCCAAACCAAAGTCATCTCAGGTATGCCTTGCTCTCTTCTTTCAATTAATTTAGCTAAACACATTTATTTGCAGGCTTTGTAAAAGACTGGTCAAAGGTGGTACTGGCATATGAGCCAGTGTGGGCCATCGGCACTGGCAAGACTGCCTCTCCCCAGCAGGCACAGGAAGTGCACGAGCAGCTGCGCAACTGGCTCTCAGAGAACATCTCCCCCGAGGTCGCCCAGTCAACTCGAATCATCTACGGTGGCTCGGTGACGGCGGCCAATGCCAAAGAGCTGGCTTCACAGAAGGACGTGGACGGGTTCCTCGTCGGCGGTGCCTCTCTCAAGCCTGAATTTGTGCAGATTGTCAATGCTCGCCAGTGAACAGTCACAGAGGGCCAGTAAGGGGCAGCATTAAAGCTGGGCCAGCCTGTCTGTCTGCTGCTACTGTCAGCTACCATCTGATTGCCCAAAAGCTGTTCAGTACACTGTTCATTAAAATGAGGCAAGCAATCAGACAGGCTTACTCCCTTTACCCCATCATCTCCTCTACTTTCTCTGACGTTAATTTATTTGCTGTTTGCTGTTCCCATCACTGGAGAAGCAATTACCAGAAACAAATGTCAATTACCCAGTAGCGTTATTAGTTCACTAAAAAGCAAATGATGTTCTTTCACTGAAACAGTGAAAAGTATAATCAAGGCAAACAATTTGAAAACACTAACAAACAAACTTCTCCATTTTCCAAAATGACAGCGAGCCTGCTCTGCTTCTGTGTATGGTTGAGAACGAAAAAGCAATGCGTGTGACTGCAAGTGGCACTGCTCGGCAAGTACGCCTGCTCGTCGGATTGGCGGGCACGCTGTGTCGCCTCTTCTGCTGCTGCCAGACCAGGCAAACACGACGCTGCATTGCATCAGAAGGAGGAAGCAAATGAAAGGCGAGAAGGGAAAGGGAAGGAAAAGTGGAGTGAGTGAGTGAGTGAGCGAGCGAGTGAAGCTCACTCGGAATGGGAGTAGAATGGAGGAAAAGGGCAGACAAATATAGTCGACCAGTGCAGACAGTGTGTGCGAGCACATTTGCACAGAACTCTCCCGAGCACATGTGGTCTACTTGGTAAACGGCAGCGGAAAACATCCATCTCTCTGGCTGTCTTCGTGCGCGCTGAACAGCAGATTGCTTCACTCTGCCTTCTTGTTTGCGTCAGTCTCAAGTCTCCCGGCGACAGACATCAAAGGCAACTCTTAATTGCCGTTTTTCACTTTTTGCCCCTTTCCTGCTGGGTCTGCCCAGCAGCACCCTCTCCGTCCTAGGCACTTATGAAACGCTGCTTCGCTCAGCTGGCACTGCACAGAAACGATCTTGGTGGTCGTCATTGTTGTCGTCATTCGTAGAACTAGAGCTTTTCTACTCCGAAACACAGCTGCCCACCGAGACTTATCTGCTTACGCTGTATCCCAGGAAAACCGAACTGTGTGCCTTCTGTGATCACTGGGGTGATCCAAACGCTCAACGACGACAACTCTTAAGACCTTTTTCTGATGATGACAAATGATTCCATTTGCGCCGTTGCTTTTTTGCTTCAACCTAACTTCTTCATATCGCCTTTCACAGACAGTTCGTAGCTGATCTTCGAAGTGTGCACATCTTTAACTTTACTTTTTTGGTAAGTTGTGTCACTTAAACTGTCTTTGCTAATAAACGAATAAACTGAAAAAAACACTTGCTAATGACAATTCGATTGAATCACGAATATGTGCGTTTAACGCTTTTGCCAAGTCTGCCTGAATCACAACTTTTTGCTTATTGACACCTCTTTAGCACCGTTTTTCTCACTTCCATCAAGAATGACTTTCACAAATAAAATCGGTACAGCCTTAATTAATAGCGGTGACAACTGGCAACTCTACCCTCAGTGTGTCTTCCAAGTAACAGAGTGACAGGACACTGTTCTCTGGCAGTATATAAACCGAGGTACCTCTCTCTCACACTCTGACGCACTTGGTCACTGGTCACGAATGATTGTGCTCACTTCATAATTCACTTTCCCTGACACTTGTTAATCCCTGCTGCTATACTCTAGTCTACCCTGCCCATAACAAAAACCTTGAGAAGGGAAGTGAGTCAGTGGTTGAACTAGTGCTTTCGCGCAGCTAATTGATTGTGGCGCAAATGTTTGCCCTAGTGGTGGGCCATTTTGTTTTCAAGTTTTCATTTCATCCACTGGCGTCACCGCAATCACAACCACAAGTATAAACACTGCTAATGCTCTACATTATCGTCATTTCTCTCATGATCACTAACACCTTCTCCTGCCTCCATTGCTCGTTTATTTTCAGATTCAACCTTACTACGTTTTACCCATTTCATACTCTCCATTCGAGTGGCAAACATGATTTTTGCCCGCAACTTTATCAAGGTGCTCCTTCGCCGCAAGCGCGTCGACGCCGCTCTTCTCGGCGAGACGAAACTCGACCGATGTCTTTCCACCTTTGACCTAACTGCGCTTGGTATGTTTATCTAAATGAGATTCTTCAGGTAAATAACAAACTTCTCCTCCTCATCATTTCAGGCATCGGCAGTACACTTGGTTTAGGCATTTACGTGCTAGCCGGTGAAGTGGCCAGCCGATACGCCGGCCCTGCCGTCACTCTATCCTTCTTCATCGGCAAGTAGTCCTTGAACTTGAAAGCAGTTGTCCTTTCTGTTTGTTTACCTACGTCATTGATGGTGATTTATTTACCTTTCTTGTTCTTTACTGCTTTTTAAACAACAGCTGCCGTTGCTTCAGTCTTTGCTGGTGAGTTTGCAAAAAGAGAGCGAGAGAGATAATATGCCAACTTGTCAGAATGAGCCCATTACTCATCATTTTCCCTCTGTTTGACAGGCCTTTGCTATGCTGAATTTTGTTCCAGGTATGTTTAGTGTTTGCATGTCAGACATATTTTTCATTTTTTAATTTTCTAATTTTTTACAGATGCCCCAAGGCTGGCTCGGCGTACCACTTTTCGTACATCGCCATCGGTAAGCGTGTAGCGGAACACCGGAATATTTGTCAATCATTATAATCGTGCAAAATGCTTTTCAACAGGCGAGTTTATGGCTTTTATCATTGGCTGGAATCTGGTTCTTGAATACGTCATTGGTACTTGAACAACTGCTAAGCTAGTGAAGTAGTTACTAAAGGCATTCTTCTTCAACTTAGGAACTGCATCCGTCGCCCGAGGCTACAGCAACTACATTGACAGCCTGCGTAAGTTGCATAAAGATTAACCAATTTGTTTCAATTACTGATTGATCACTGTCTAGTGAATGGCGTTATTCAGAAGACGCTGCAAAATTATATGCCAATCAACATCAGCGGCCTGTCGACGTATCCCGATTTTCTAGCATTCGGCATCACCTTCGTTTTGACGAGTAAGCATTTTTGCTAAAATAAGGAATGCCTGGTGTCATTCTTTTTCTTTTCTCCCCATCAGTCATGCTGGCAGTAGGTGTAAAAGAGTCGACGCGTTTCAACTCCGTCTTTACCGTGCTCAACTTGGGCGTGGTCATCTTTGTGGTCGTTGCTGGATCCTTTCACCTAAACTGGGACAACTGGAACATCACCGCCGAGGAGGCCAGGAAGCACGAGGGCAGTGGCAGTGGTGGCTTCTTTCCCTTTGGCTTCGCTGGAGTCATGTCAGGGGCGGCCACCTGCTTCTACGGCTTCATTGGCTTTGACGTGATTGCCACCACCGGCGAAGAGGCTATCAATCCGCAGAAATCCATTCCCATCAGCATTGTCCTCTCGCTGCTCTTTGTCTTTCTCGCCTACTTTGGCATCTCCGCAGTGCAGACGCTCATGCTGCCGTACTTTATGCAGACAGAGGTGCTCACCGGCGGAGCGCCGCTGCCGTTTGTTTTTGGGCAGGTAGGCTGGCCAGTGGCCAAGTGGATTATCTCCATTGGCGCCCTCACCGGTCTGTCTACCAGTCTCCTGGGTGCCATGTTCCCCCTGCCCCGAGTCCTCTACTCGATGGCTTCGGATGGTGTCATCTTTCGCTCTCTCGCCAATGTCAATCAGCACACGAAGACGCCCATTATTGCCACTGTCATCTCTGGCATTTTTGCCGGTCTGCTGGCTTGCATCTTTGAGGTAAAAGAGCTGGCCGACATGATGTCAATTGGTAGGTGTTTAGTGGAATGGTGGAGCATCATTGTTCTTAACCTTCATTTATGCAGGAACCTTGCTGGCGTACAGTTTGGTGTCCATCTCGGTGATGATTCTCCGTTACGGCCACCAGGCCATTGGACTAACTGATGATGTGAATCGAGACTCCACCGAGCTCCAACCTCTGGGTGAGAATGATTCTGACGAGAAAACGGAGGCAAATGGATGGAAGAAGTCCAACAGTGCGGATGACATTGACCAGATGAGCAGTATGAGCAGTGTCTTTGCGCAGTTCTTGAATCTAAACAAGCATAAGCATGCCAATGTTCTTTCCTCTCAAGTGGCCACCAGCATGATTGTTGCCATCAGTAAGTTGATCAAGCTGACAACTCTGGTGAGCCAAAACTAACCCCTTTCTGCTCCTTCTCAGCCATTCTTCTGATCATCTTCGACGCTCTTCTGGTGTTTTGTGAGAAGCAGCTGATTGCCAAGGACATTACCACTCTCTGCGTTACCACCTTTGTCCTTCTCCTGCTCATTCACGCCATCATTGTTCTAGCATGTCAGCCCCAGTCACTGCACAAGATATCCTTTCAGGTGCCCTGTGTGCCCTATATTCCCGTTCTCAGCATGTTTGTCAACTTTTACCTGATGCTGCAGCTATCAGTCACTACCTGGATTCGATTTGCCGTTTGGATGGCTATTGGTAAGTGAGAGAAAGCTCATTTTATGTCCTTTACAGCCATCTCATACTATCCTCCTTATCCCAAAGGTCTCACAATTTACTTTACCTACGGAATCTGGAACAGCAACGAACGTAACCGAGTTTCCGCCAAACTGTACGGCTGTCAGTCATCAAAGGAGAACATCTCAAAGGAAGTTGCCGTCAGACTGCAGTAAAAACTTCCGGTGCCAACTGTTTCTACCTTTTTTAAAAATCATTTTTAACGCCCAATCCTCAATGTTTTTAATAAACACACGAATTTTTACCTAATCAAAAATAGTTTAGCGCCAACTGCCACTTTGGCATTGGTCTCTGCACCGAGAGAGGGCACAGCACGAGTAAAAGTGCGAGCACTTTGAAACTGGTCCAACTGCGTCTTCCTCACTTTTCTCATCACTGCTGGAACCCCCTGCACCGTTGGGCGACCGATAGACAGAGATAACAGAGAGAGGGAGAGAGAAATACTGCACACAGTATTGCTCCGACAGAGAGTTTGGCGCCAGAAAGGGACAGTTTGGGAAGGGATCCATGCGCACCGTCGCTGGAGAGGCGGAGCGAGCGAGCTGGGATTTCCAATGCCCGTCTCCCTTTCCCGACGCTCGTAGTGGCACCACCACAGACTGAGTGCCAACGGCGGCACAGTGTGCACCATTGCCACTACCACTACTGCGACACGGCCAAAATATAACCTTTTGGCAGCGTCTCACAGAGAGAAAGACATATAGCAGGGGAGAAGAGTGAGTGTGTGTTGTTCCAGGACTGCCACCACCGACATGGTCAGTCTGCCGTCGAACCTACTCCCTTTCGGCTGAGGCAGAGAGTTGCCGTCTGTTTGTGGGCGCACTGGTGCCACTGCTGTCTCCCGCTCTCACTCTGACTCTCACTCGCTTCTTTCCTCAATTTTGATCTCCAAACAGCAGCTTAACCAACAACTAAACACCAACAAACACAGCCCGTACTCAATTTTCACCTTTCCGTTGAATCCTCATCACCACTCTGGTCACACGACGCGATCAAGGATCTTCATTCAGTGATCCTCGCAGTGATCGGTTTGCAGTGTTGTATCATCATCATCGACATCAACATCAACATCAGCACCATCCTCGTTGTCGCCATCGTCTCGTTCCACCGACGCCGACTCTGCGACTACTGTGCGCCCATTTGATTCTACAGCCAACCAACCAACCAGCCAGTCAGTCAGACAAACCTAACAACAGACAGACAAACATAGACAGCGACATAGACTGAAAGAACATACTGCACAAAGTAATCGGATAACGTTTCACTACAATCACCAACAGCAGCAGCAGCAGCTTTAGGGAGCACATTGCAACACTTGCCGCACACATTGTTGTTCTCCCGTTAATCGCATCGATCGGTGTACTTAGCAGTTGTGTGTCGTGTTGACACTCTCTCTTCCACTCGGCTACAGCAGTCGGCCAGTCAAGATGGCTCATCCTTTATCCGTTCTGTGTAGTCTAGCAGTAGTGGGCAGCGTGCTGCTGCTCCTCTTTGGCCCATCCTCGGCCACGGCCACCACCAAGAAGGGTAAGTCCTGGTAGTCGGAGCAAGACGGACACAACAACACAACATGCACATACACACTCTTACCCAAACACCGACAACAGCTTTCACTGCCTCTGTTCACATGTCCACCAGCGGGACCGTTTATCTTGCCAGTCGGCGCTGACAGACAAGAGTAGTTTGCCGTTCTCGCCTCTGAGTAGAGCTGGGTGGCAAAACTTTGAGCCTTTGCAAATTTATACTCGCTCCAAAGTTATCCTAATGAGAATTATAAATTCAGCCCCTTTTTGCGCACCCAACGACGGCAGCAGGATGCAGCAGCATCATCAGCCAAACTGTGTAAAGGGCATATAATTAATGAAAATTAATCAAATGGAGCATGCGAGACTGTCAAACTTTTATTGGAGGGCAAAAGTTGCCGCTCGCTTTTTCGCCTCTAAATATTGAAATATCGGATAGACGAACTTTAATGACATTTGCTAAGGCGATTTGCCAGTTGCTGATCTGCTCGACAGCTCGATTCTCCCCTCCCCCTCACTCTCCTCTCCTGTACAGTACAGACCTCGTCGAAAAGCTGCCGACTGAGAGAACCAGTCTGTGAAGTGTGTGTAGCCAGAGCGGCCAGACTAAAGCCGGTGCCTAAAGCTTGCTTCCTTTCCTTGCTGGTGCACTTTTTTCTGCTAATACTACCAGCAGCGCCTTTGTGTGCTTGCACTGCTTGCACACACACACACACGGTTACACTGTTTGACCAGGTTTGAGACGGTGAATCTCCACCATTCCTCTCTTTTCATTGCACAGTGTGTGTGTGTCTGTTATATCCTTGGATTCGAGTAATGTTTCCACCGGCAACCGATCCTATTTGTACACGCATCGGCCCACGCCACACCAGACGCATTCGCATTCTCTTTCGCTGTCTCTCGTTCTCTTTCTCTTTTTCTTTCTTTCTGCTACAGCCGCAGATATCAGTCGGTAGCACGCAACTGCACACTGGCTTTCATTTGTTCTTGTCACTGACAAAACACCACGACAAAACTGGCGCCAGCCATTCAAATGGCGCACAGAATTGGTAGAGCGGGAGGAGGGCAAGGCAGGCAGGCGAGTAAAATCGGACAGGCCGCGTGTGAGTTGGCTTCTATTGGCACTCGGAGTGGCACACTCACACTCACTGGCTTCAGCTGAGTTACGGGCAAGTTCTTGCCAGCCGGCAGTTGTAAATTATTTAGATGGCCAAGCGAAGGCAAAGGCCACCAGGAACAGAAATGGGTCCAAGCTGCGCACTTAAGCTGCTGCTGCCGCTGTTGCTGCTGCCTGTCATCCCGACAGACCCAAAACTGCACTTTATCGACTGACAAGAAGAGTCAATTCCGGAGTGAAGCAGCAAGTCGTAAGTCAGTCCTCAATGGTGCCTTGCATTTGTCAGCCAATTCTCTCTCTCTCTCTCTCTCTCTCTCTCTCTCTCTCTGCATTTCCGATTAGTAGTCGCCGTCGTTGTGACAATACTGCTGTACGGCTGTTTTTCTGTTATCTTGCCTTTTATCCGCTTGGTCTCCCTCAATGTCTTCAGATTGTTTCAATTCAGATATATCGAAAAAAGAAAGAGAGGAGGAGGAGGTTCTACAGAGTGGCGGTAAAATACAGTTCGATAATGACGACATTGGTTGCCGTCGTCAGGAGAGCCTTGTTGTGCACTGTTTGCCAGTGAGCGTTGCCGCTACATTGGGGCCACGTACACTTGGTTGGCACCATTCCTAACGTCAACTCTTCAGGTGTGTCACTCTTCACTGTCACTCCTTCAGTCGTCCAACTGACTCTAATGAACATTTTCAGGGCAACTCTTCTTGCGCTCCTCAGACTCATGCCGCCAGTACCGCCAGCACTAGCACCGGTACCACTGACTACTACTACTGCTGCTGGTGCCGTAATCGATTCTCGATGCCCACCGCTTGGCACACTTTGCAGACTGTCGTGACTGTTGGCACTTGGTATCGGTGGCCGTGGCTGCAGCGGCAGCAGCAGAATGTCGAAAACCGCTTCAGCTGCCGCCGCCACAAAAGCAATCGGCGGTTGGCGGCAGCGGCGCGGGAGCGGGCGCGCGGTCATCTCAATCCATTATCCATTATCGAATCGGGTCACAAGCCAGTGGCCACTGGAGGAGCCATCTCACCGGTGTGTGCGTGCCGAGGCACACACCGATCGGCGACACTCTAATTGAACCCTTCTTCTCCTTCATCTTCTTCTTTCTCTCCTTCCTTGGCTCCCCCTCCAGCGTGCTGAAACGTTCGGAGGACGGACTATATACGCGCGTGCTCTTGGCTCACTAATTTGCATCAGACTCTTGATGATTGGCGCCTGCCTGCCTTCCTGCCAGTCAGCCAGCAGCAGCAGTTTCCTTCCTTCCTTTAATGTTGGCTCACAGCTGGCTGCTTCAGTCAGGCTTCGGTAGTCTTCTTCGGTAGTGTCGATCAGTGTCCGTCACCAGAACTGCTGCTGCCAATGCGCTTACCTGAATCAGGGGCGCCCTGCCATTCGAGTCTCACTGGGCGTCGTCAGGACAGTTCATCAGCGGGTTCATTCATTGCCGATTGCTGCTTCTCTATTAATTGCTGATGCTGACATTCAAATTTAACGCTAAGCGCCTTTTGTTCTATCTACACACACTGCATACCTACACTGCAGCTCGTCCCATCTTCCCATCTCTCTCTTCCTATTCACCAGCCCACGAACGTCTTCGGGGAATCGATCTTTGTCGAGAGGAGAGAGAAAAAGAGAAAAAGGAAAGAGAATTGGACAGACAGTGTCGTGCACTTTGTTCGCTCTCTCATCTTCAGTAGTTCTCGGCAGTGTTGTTAAAGTCTCGCTCTATCGCCGACAAAGGTGACATCAATTGAGGCCCACACACCGCACAGCAGACAGCTTGCAGTATGAATCACTGCTGCTGCTTGATCCGTCGCTCACCGCTTATAACCGGAGCGGCATCTTTTTCTCACTAAGCGAGCAAGGCGGCAGTCTTATCCCAATTTGACAGCGCTAAAAACGCAGGATGACGGAAAAGGAAAGGAAAGGAAAGAAAGTGTGTTGCACATGTGGTGTCTTCAACCACAGTGAAGCCAGCTAGTTCGGCTGAGCAGCCTTCTCAGCGTTTGCCCTCGATTCATCTCACTCTAGGTGATCCTTTTTTCATTCAGTGCATTTCGGTGCTGTCTATCTCTAGTCTAACTTGCGTAGGATGTAGAACACGTCTCACTGTGGTTTCTGATGAGACTTTTGCCACTCTGGCCACTGCACTGTCCTCTCTGCACGTCTCTGCCTCACTTTTGCTCCTGGTGGAGGTATAATTTAGACGAGAGAGTATTTCTACTGCTTTGTTTCACTTTGATTAAATTCACTAATTGGTTCACTGCTATCGATGGCATTCATGACGATGCTTGTTCCTCCTTGATACCTTCCGCACTGCCACTGCATTTCCTACTCCTCTAGGCTTTTCCGTTTTTTTGTTTTTGCTTGGACGAGCACCCTTGCTTCGGCGACTCACCATGGACAGTGGCCGCTTTCCCCGAGAGAAGTTTTTCTCTCTCTGTCTCTTTCTCTTTCTTTTATTTTAGTGAGCGACCTAGTGTGCGACAATCCAATTGCCTTCTCAAGTAGAAGC